GAAAGCTGCTGGGGGGGGGGGGGTAGCGGCGGCGGCGGCGGCAACAGCACCGACGGCGGCGCCCCCGCAAGCACGCCTGCCGCGATGGCGGTCAGCAGGGACGGCGCACGCAGAACGGAAGACGCTCCCGATGCCCCCGCCGCCGCTGCCCGTGTCCTAGTAAAGCCTACGAAGGAGGAAGTAACGGGGGCGGGGGCAGCAGCCGAGGAGTTTCTCAGGGCTTTCGGCTCGCTGCTGGGCCTTAACCACAGCATCCTGCACGATGACCTGAGACAGGTGCTACGGATGACGTTCGAGTGGGCGGCTACGGCGGAAACAGCAGAATCGGCGACGGCGGCGCCGGGTACTGTTCGCGGCGGCGACGGAGGCAGCGGCGGCCCGACGGTGGTGCTCCGCGCTCTGGCGGTCGATCTCGTCGCGAGCCTCGTCGGCACGTACGGCCGCCTGCGGCAGATGGACCACCTCGTCCGGGCCCTCTTCGGGGCCGTAAGCGACTGCCCGCAGGCGGCGGCCGCCATGCTCAGAAGGGACGAGTGCGCGGCGGCTCTGGGACGGTGAGAGACTCGTGCTGTTGTGTAGGGCGACGTATGCGGTTGGCAGTCAGCGATCGCGGCAGCGGTACGTGTTTCGGTTGTTGGTCAGGTTGGCTCTTGTCCTTGCACTTCACTCCAACGCCTGGACATCGAGAGATGTGGACGGAACCGATGCCTCAGCGTTCCCTGAAAACACGCACCCTTCGTAAGAATCGCTTTTTCCTAGGACGCTTTCGCCACGATGTCTAATTACACCAGCGGTGAGGTGTGTGACCTGAGGCCCAGCGAATAATTGGGGATTCGCACCGACCTTGTGGCTGAGTACTGAGACCCCAACGGCGAACTCACCACATACGGGAATCTTGGACAGACACGCGCTCACGCGTTGTAGTGTGTTCGCCGTTGGGATCGCAGTAGTCGGCCACAAGGTCGATGCGAACCCCCAGTAGTTCGCTGGGCCTCAGGCCACACACGCTTCACCACTGGTGTACTTGGACACCGTGACGAAACCGCCGTATAAAAAAAAAAAAAAACTTTTTTGCGAAAAAGAGTACTTGCGTTGTAAGGATCCGACAGCACGGGTGATTCTGCCATTCGCTCGTTCCGTCCAACTCCTCCGGTCTCCAGACATTGGCATGAAGTGCAAGGATGACAAGTGGCAGCGCCTTCTGTTCCAGTAGCGCCATACGCTCTCAGTTGTTGGGGCCTGGTTGCAGATCGCGCAATCCCTTTTCGAGTTGGAGAAGATGTCAGGAGGAACCTTTTGCCACCGTTCTATCGTCTGTAGCACTCAATGTTGGACTTCGACGGGGTTCAGGGGAGGGGGCAGGTGGAAGAGTCATGATCCCGCCTTTTTCAGTTCCGGGGGGAGGGCCGGAGGCGGCCGCTCTCGTGTGTTCTTGACCCCCAACAATAAATTACCATCTTTCTGGTCCAACCTGCACCTTCTTCTCGTTACTCTCTTTCTCTCGTTTTCTCTCGACCTCGTTCTGTCTCTCTCAACCCCCCCC